GTTACATGGCAATTCACTATGTTAACTGAGAGCTACATAGCTACTAGCCCAGTCTCCAAAACCCTGACTTTTGGTGAGTGAAGGGTTGAAGCGAAGGATCAAACATCTAAGCTGGGACCAGACCAGTCGAGACTTGCACCCAAGCACATCAGGAAGCATCACGATGCTCCATCAAAATTCCAGGTGAGGGCAGATCTAAAATACAGAAATTTAGTGGCATCACTGCACTGATCAGGAGTTGGAAAGAATAGTAGTGTGAACTAAGGTAGTAATATCACATGCAAAACTCTCCACAGAAAGGCAAGATACACGTGCAAAGGGAGCCTATTTATATGTATATTTACAACTGATGCAGTCTAGGGGGAAATTTGATCAAATGCTTATGTCAACATGAGCTCTGTCATTACTGGCTAAATGAACCAAGTCTGTGTGTGTTGCCTAGTCCTCCTGCCTTTCTCTTGGAATTACCAAGTATTTCAAAAGCATGAGCCTTAAAGTTACAGCTGTACATCTTCATTGTCACAGATAATATGGCCTTTTAGGCTGAAAATGGTTATTATTTGGTGCCTGATTAACTGTGCTGTAAGCAGACATTACTATTTTACTCCTCTGGTTTGGTGATTGAAACAATATCCGTCAGACACTACATCTCCCCTTGACGCTTGCAATTTTTCCCATGGTGTCTGAAACCTGAGGTCAACATTTGCGTTTTTTGTATTATTATTGGTTCTGCATGGATAATGTATTTTGTACTCATTTATGCTCCCTTTAAGCTCTGAAGGTTGTAGGATGGCAGGTAATTGTCCAAGAACTGTACAGAGTCAACCTGCCAGCAGCAGCCAGCCCTGTCCACTCAGCTGTGATTTAGAGATTGATGGGTTCCACCACCTTCATTGCATCCATCATATAAGTCCATGTAGCTTAACTCACCTGAACATCACTGGTAATAAACAGCAGTCTCTGTGTCACATTGCTCTTCATGCATTTTTTCGCTCAAATGAGTTTTGTTAGCTGAGACCTTGCTCTCCTGCTCTCAGCAGCACTGCCGTAATCATCTGTGAAAGAGTTTAAGTGGACCATCAGGTCTAATCTTCAGCTATCCCCAGGCTGATCATAAATGAGCTGTTATAGGACAGATACAACATAATCCTGACAAGCAAATCTGACTTCCAAGTTTATCTCTATTTTCTATTATATCTGGTTCAATAATGTCCTGAAAATTGCTCTCTGGAATTCTAGAATTGAAAATGAAGCATTTTGCTATTTAAGAAGACAAAACCACTGAAAATTTTTAATCAAAGACATGTGAAGACAGAGGGGAAAAAAAGGAATGTTTTATGGAACCTTTTCACTGGAAAAAATGCAGTTAGCTTTACTAATAATAATAACTGAACACACATGTGACCCCTTTTCAGGAACTACTGCTGAGGGGAGAATGGAACAAGAGAGCAGGAGCACAGCCAGACCTCCCCATCAATGGCTTCAAACCAAAAGATTTAGATTAGATATTCAGAAGAAATTCTTCACTGTGAGGGTGGTGAGGCACTGGAGCAGGTTGCCCAGAGAAGCTGTAGATGCCCCATCCCTGAAAGTGTTGAAGGTCAGGTTGTCTGGGGCTTTGAGGAATCTGGTTTAATGGAAGATATTCCTGCCCATGGCAGGGGATTTGGAACCAGATGATCTTTGAAGTCACTTCCAACCCAAACCACTCTATGATTCTATGATTCTATGATTCTATGATTCTATGATTCTATGTTGGAGTACGGGACTCTGCAAGGGACAAGCCCATAATCTGGGCCCAGGATGTGAGATTTGATTATTTTGATAGGGGATGGGAAAGACACAAGGACTGGTAACATACAAGTGCTTTTATGACACAAAGCATGGGCTGCAAATTCCATGTGCACAGTCCTATTTTTACAATGTGTATTTTGCAAAATACAGATGCCTTTTGGACTGACAGTTACCAGTCTGTGGCTCTTGAGGAGTCTGTGGTAGGATCTGTGCATTTAAAGATGAAGCAATTTCTCCTCTTGGGGAGATATTGTGGTGAAAATATGCATTAGTAGGGAGGCCTGCAGGCATGTTCCCTACAAATGGAAGCATTTTTCTGGACTTAGCGAGATCTGTCTTTCTGCTGTGTACATGCATTTATAAATGCACATGAAATGTGATCACAATATATGTTCAAGATAAGAAACAAAGCCAATGATGTCCAAATGATTAGCTTTGACTGGTTAATAAGTACCTACATGGCAAACATCAAAGTCCAATGAAAAGGACTGTTACATTGAAACTTTGAAAAATTGAAGCTATCGTTAAGGGATGAAAACAATAAGGTAACAAAAATAACTGTTACACTTTCTGCTTCAGCGTCTCAAGTAAAATTAGGCAGCTCATGTGCTGGGTGATCAGACCCAAGAGAGTAGGCATTTCCATCAAACTGCATGGGAAACAGAGATGGGTCAAGCTGGGACCACTTCTGGTGTTTCACACTGACTTGACACTTAGGCCCCAAACCTTCTGTTTAATCCCTAGGAATACGGTTAAATTTCATGACATTGGGCTGCAATTTTCCATGTTGTTTCCATACCTTAAATGAGTCTGAACCTCGAGGTTTGAATCTTAAGACATTTTGTTTGCTTGCTTTTCTTGTAGTTTTAGGTTTGCTTTGAGTTTCTTGTAGAAGCAATCGGCCAAAATTAGACACAAAGATCTAAAAAAGGGAAGGAAGGAAAGGAACAGAAATAGAACAGGGAAGGATAGGCCTGCCACTCACAGAAAGGGAAGACACCATCAAAAAAACAAAAACAAGAAAGCTGACTACAGTGGGGAGAAGGACTTGATGCAAGAAGAGGCTGAGAAAAAACATGGAGTGCAGTGAGACAGAGCAAGAGATGATCCTCCATCCTCAGGCTGTGCCAGAACAATAGGGAAGATGAGTTTCATGAAGAATTGAAATGACCTGTCCTATTTCTTTTAAAAAAATCAATATCCAGTTGCAACATTCCCTTAAGCAAAGATTGCATTAATGTTAGGAAACAAGGTTAACTAACATACTTAAATTTGGAGGCAAAAGAATGTGTGTCCAGGGCCTACAGAGAAAAAGAGAACATGGGAATAATAAAACCTTTGTTGTCTGCTCCAGCATGAATCTGTAAGATGATCTTGAGAAAACCATCTGCAAAAGAAAAAACCCTATAACCAAAAAATCTCAGTATCTCACAGGAGGGCTGAAAGGCCGTGTAGCTGCCAGTTTTCAGTTACTACCATGTTAAACTCTCTAGGATAGCTTAAACAATAATTTTCTCACATTTGCTCTATACGTTTTTTTTGCCAAGGATGCTTTGAATGCTGCTTCACCCTATAGCCCTCACACCAGAGCAGCTTTATGATGCTGATTTCTATCAGAGGATTGCTTTTGTAAGGGTTATCTTGTCCTAGTATCTCTGGAGAAGATCTATAAAGCTGAGGTGGACTCATTGAAACTCTCACAGGGTACCTTTATTGCACATCACCCCGCCCCGGCCTAGAAAACCTTACCAGCATGTACAAACTGCTGCTTATTCTGCAGGACTGAAACCTGCTGCAGCACAGAGGTTTGCAACAACACTGGAGCCCCTTTTGCTGGACCTGTGTGGCTTCTGACAGTGACCATGGGCTTGAGGCACTTTGCCAGCCCCCTTTTCCCTGGTTATAAGGAGTTCTATGAAGCAGCCCTTCTACCCAATCCAGAAGTACACACAGAGACAAATGGACCTATTTGGGTCTTCTACAATTCTCCTTTAGCCTTTCCATCTGCCCAGCAAATCCTGTTCCCCCCAGACACCACTCTAGCTTACCCAGGCTGCAGATGCTTTTTGTTGGGACATGCAAATCCTCCATCTTGGGGCATGCTATGTTATATGCAGGGACACCCCAAGGCAGATACCTGCATCCAGACATGGTGTTGACACTAATGGTCCAAAGGAACCTTTCAGATGCCCTCTGCACAGGATTTTGCCTCTCCTTCCTTAAAAGCCTGCTTCAGTTAAAGCCTCTCTGCGATGGATACCTATCCCTTCCTGCCCCCGTCAGAGCAGGGCCCAACCCTTCCTTCGAAAGACTGGTGATGAGATTTCCAGCTGAAAGTGGGATTTGATCTCTTTGTTTAGGAACAGAAATGAAACACGTTTCATTGCACCTCATGAATCCTTCCAACATAAGCATCTTGAGTTACATGTTTCTGTAGCTGGACATATGTGTCTGTCACCACGTAAGGGAGAGAAGAATTTTCACCGAAATGAAAGTGTGGTGCTCCCTTTTCTCCTGATCTCATTGTTAAACAAATGAGCTGCCTTTAAAAGCACTGCAACATTTATTTGTGCCTCCAAAAGAGGTTGTTTTCACCCCTATATAAGTTTACACTTGAAGTAGCAACATTCTTTTTACAGACTCTGTTAATTAAGGGAAATAGTCTTAATTTCAGTTAGTAAAATTGCTTTGTGTGTATGTGGGTGTGTGAAAATAATACAGTATCTTATTTCAAACCTCATGGGGTTTCAGCAATTATGCCTTTAACAGAAAATCTCAAAAGTCAACAGCCTTATAATGCCTAACTCCTGGGAACCAGAGTAAGGGGAAATTAAACATCCATCTTTGAGTTTAATGGTGTAAAAATACTCATGTAGACAACTGCTGTTATGAGGATGATTCCCTTCTGCTGAAATACAGATCCCAAAAGGTTCACCTTGCCCAGACAAGGTTAAGCCAGATCCCACCGCCCCTCATTGCTTGTATCAGTCTGCATGGGAATATTGCACTTGGGGAGGAGAGTGGGGCTGTGCCCAGGCAGACATTTGTAGGTGCAAAGTAGCACGTCCTAGGTGAGGAAAACCTCACCCACTTTTGAACATGCTTTTCATCTTGGCTGTTCCCTGATCATCCCACCCTTCTTCAGCTCCTGGTCCTTTTTTATTTTTTTCTTGATCAAGGATATGCAAATGCTGCTCTGAGTCACAGCTGCTGCAATAGGAGGTTCATCTCACCAGCAAGAGCAGCACTGCGTGAGTGTGTGCATTTCTGCTTTACGTGATTGTCTGCACGTCCCTTGGCACACAGTGAGTATGTCTCCCAAACCACAGCTCACATGTCTAATCACTTCCACTCCAGACTCTTGAGGCTGAGCTAGGGACAATATAATAACCAGCTTCTTGCAGACAACTGGGCAGTGGTCCAGGCAAAAAGGTTCAGTGAATCTACTGGCTGACATCTAACTCATCTGAAGTTCAGGTCCACAAACACTCTTCTACAGTCTCTTGGCAGAGGTAAGATTCAGAGAGACCTGATCTTGGGCTTTCCTGCACTTGACTTTGCAGGAGATCATACCCCAAAAATTTGGAAGGATAAGTGCTACTTTTGGAGATAGAGGGTTTGTATCTGCACATCGAACCACTATCATTTGAAATTAACAATTTTTTGGCAACAGAGAGATTTACATTCAGGTTGGCAGATATTTGAAATTCTTCCAGTCCTGAAATACTCTTTATAGATGTTTGCACAGAGTCCAGTATAATGGGATCTGGTCCCAGTTAAGTCCTGTTATAGTGCACATGGTAAATAGCATGGGGAAATTACAGGAAACAGACCTTACAGGAGAGCTGTTAAAGTGAAACAGCAGCGTGTAGACAACATGGACACTGAGACAAAGACTGGTTCCACAGTCCTGTCCTTATCCAGTTGGAAGATCATCAAAGAGACAGGGGAGAGAACCAAAATTACCTGGAAGAGAACCCTTCCTTCTTTCCTTCCTTCCTTCCTTCCTTCCTTCCTTCCTTCCTTCCTTCCTTCCTTCCTTCCCTATTCTCCATTTTCCAGTTTTGGAAGGTTTCAGAAGGTCCAGCAGAAGGCATAGGCAGACCTTTGTCTAAAATTGGCACATTGGCTTCAGAAAGAGCTTATCTGAGAAGATAATGCAGGGGTGGGACCAGTGATGCACTTTCACATTTCCAGCAGTACACCTGAAGCAAGGGGGTGGGTCAGGTATGACAGGGTGTCATGATTTGTGATTTTTAGAGCCACCCATCACTGAGTGTTTCTAAGGAGATGGTGTGAGGCAGGACAGACTCATCAGACAGTTCAGCAATTTTTTACAGTGCACACGATAAATCTTCCTCATATTATTCACTATGTCAAATATTACTCTGTTGCACAACACTGTGTGTTCTAGACTGCACTTCTCAACTACCCTTGAAAAAGAAACTTATCAATGTGAGTTCTTAGAGCAATGTCTTGTCACATAAATAACAATTTTGGTCATTTTTTTTCAAACATGGCTTAGTACTAAAAGTTTTTCTCTTTGGTTTTTGGTTTGTTTATGTATTTTCTTGGTTTCCTCATTAAAAAATTCTTGTTCACTTAGCAGCCGACCTTGTGACTTTTGTCTGAATGAGGAGAAACAGTCAGACCATAATTTGGCTCTGTCAGTTGTGAGGGGATGGAGGAGGAAATACTGGGAGAGGAGAGTATTTTTTTCATTTTACTTGAGCCACATACCACAACAATTTGCAATACCTGTTTACAGGCAGAACTGGCCAATTTGCTGGCACATATGAGTCTTAGGAGTCAGGACAGACTCCATCCACAGCTGTTAACCAGTGCTTTACCCTGGCAGATGCACAAAGATACAAGAATTGGAAAGTCCCGTGGGATAAACCTGAGGACAAGCAAAAGTATGATGAAACTCAGTGAGAGCTGTCTATGACTCACCAAGTAGCCCAACACACTACACAAGGGCTTGGGCTGGAGCAACAGCAGGTTGGAGGGGTTACTTGCTCCAACATCTTCTCTTAAATGCTGCCAAATAGACCCCTGTCTAACTAGTAGGCTTGCTGTTGGTAGCCAGGCAGAGATACTGCAGATGTAGGCTGACAGTGTAGGATGGCACTGGGCTAGTGGAGAAATCAGCTAATTCACTAGCCATCCTCTAGCAAAAGGAGATAAAACAAGTCCAAAGATTCATCAAAAGATACTTGAAAACTAGTTTTACTAGTCTGTTTTTGGTTCTCTGCACTTGGTAGGGGATGGCTATCTGTCGAAGTAATTTTATTTAAAGAATTGCTGGACATAACAGCCAGGGAAGTTTCTTTAATAAGATTTTTTTAAAGCATTCCTTAATGACTGATGTTGGAATGCAGAGAGCAAAAGAGTACTTGGTCTGGATTACAAACAGATGTGAATGGAAGAACCAATTTTGGCCCATGTCAGCACATACAGATGTGACTCTCTTCATGTGTCTTACTCGAGCACCCCACCTCGGGCAGCCCTGGTTTGCTGTTCTGGCACAGATGTCTGTTGTTGAACAGATGTTGTCTTGTAAGCTCCCCTAAGCAGCTCCATTTTCCAATCAGAATTGTAACTGGAATTATGTACAGAAGATAATTGCAGCATTTATAGAAGGGGAGTCCAAAAAACTGGCCTTGAAGCTCAGCGAATTGAGGTCACCCATCAAGCTGCTGCCTTCGCCTCCTGCTTTTTCAAAAAAGCTAGATGATTTTATTAGAGTCAACTGCTGAATAGAAGCTGTTGGCATTACAAGTCAGGAAAGACAGCTAGGATACTCTTGTCACTGACTTATTCTTGGCCAGAGAACAAACCAATGCTTGCTGTATCGTCAAACAGGTAACGGTCTCTTGTGTAATTAGATCAAATTATTATAATAGTGATTATAATAATTTATAGCTATTTGTCCCTTAAACCAGCTCCTTCATTATGTTTTCCACTGTCTGCTCTGTGATTGTCTTGTTGAGATCATAAGCATTTTGGGCAGGGACTTTCGGTGTCATGGGGAGGGCTGGTCGCCCTACTCATGCCTAACAAGCAAGGTTTTGGTAATTATATTGTATCACTGAAATCAGCTATTAGTAACAAGAGAAAAAAATGTAGCATCTGCATCAGTATATGATAGCTGCAAGAAATCACAGTATTAATTTTATTGCGAAGAATCACAATATTATTTTCCCTGCCCTTGCTTTCAAGACCTGTGCAAATGCATAAATCCACCAGGATCGGATTGTCTGTGAAGTTGGCTAATGAGACATTGACAATTAGTTTAGGCCTCAGCTAGTAGTCCTCAGAGGACTACAATGACCCTGTAATTCAGCAGGTGCAAATCAGTACAAAATAGCTGTTGAAAATCTGACCCATAGATTAAAGTGAGCTATATCTAAAGCCAAATAGTAATCTTTGGATATAGCACTGCCCGAATAAAAAAAATGTGGTTTAGATTAAATCTTCAATCTGCGATGCTAATATAATTATAATGTCAGAAAAAAAGAAAGCACTAACCATGTTAAATAAACACGTCTCTGGCAGAGAACAGAACTTTTAAATAGACAACATGTATCTGTGAGCCAAATAAAAATCTAAGAGGCAATCCAGAGTACTTTTCTGCAAACAACTTGAAAGTTTCTCCATAGCTCCCTTTTTCTTCCATGTTCTAATCACAATAGGGAGATGATTGTCTAAGACCAATATTCAGAGCACAGCAGATAGATCAAATATTTCACTGCAGACAAGCCTGTGGTTTGGATAAGGTCCACTGTTTTTGTAAGAGCTTCAGCTCTGTATGTCTTTTGGTACATAGACTTGATTGCAAAATGTCTGTAGATGCAGAAGTGTGTACACAAAATCCGATGTTAAGATCTAAACGGGGCACCTCAGACACTTGGATAATGGACCATGAAACTAAAATGTGCAAGTGGAGACTTTACTGCAGTCTCAGCTACTCAAAGACCCTGCAATGGCAGAAATTATGTCCACCTAAAGTTCTCTGCAATGGCAGGATCCAATTCAGATTCTGCCAGCACAGAATGACAGCAATGCCTCACGTTCAAGAAATTGATTTTGTTGTTGCACACTGCACACTGCAAATCACACATGAATGTATTTATGTATACTAAATTATATTCATATATAATATACACACATGCACACATAGAATAGAGGTATATATATACTTAAAACTGTAAGGAAAAAGTATGTATACTTTGAAAAATTATGTCTTCATCGCCTTTGTAAGTTTTCAATTTCTGCTAACCATAATTTCAACGTAAATCATTTTCACACTTTGGACTTCATAAGCAGTCAGACCAATGAGTTTAAACCAGATGATTTTTGTTGCCTACTTCATACAAGCTGTTAAGGGACAATGCTGCTAAAAGGGTAAGAGGAATTCCAAAATACTGGAAGCCACTGGGATGCTGGGTGAGTTGTGAAAGTCCAATGCTCCCAGCTGAAGCAGGGAGGCTGGCAGGTAAACAGGAGTCTGTCATACAGGTGTCTCAGCTTCTTGTGTATCATGGAGTGTTTGGATTGATGCTACACAGCTGCTACTCTGAGACAGATATAAGGAGAAAATATTCTTAAAATCCTTGTGAGATCCTCTAAGATCTACAAATCACTTGAGGGAAATTTTTCTCCTAGGATCAGAGGGAGCTGGAATTTCACTCATGTTTGTTGCTGTCATTATAGGCAGGAAGTGGTTAAAGCAGTCAAACAGAGTCAAAAATTTGAAGTAACAGAAATCACAGAAACCAGTCATAAAAGAAGGCTATGATTGTGATGTGCAGCAACTTCAGAACCACTGGGTATTTCAGTTTTGTATTGACTCCAGCAGTTTCAGAGCTGCAAGGTTTCCCCTTGGTAAGCATGGTGGTTGTCTCCCAGGTGGACAGAAGAGCCAAAGCAAGAACCAACCCCACTGTGTCCCTACCCTTGAGTTGGTGCTGGGGCAGGTTGGGTGCTCTTGACAGAGCTGTTTTCCTTCCCCTGCAGTGTCCTGGGAAACAAACTGACTTTAGGGAATGGAGAAGGGAGGTCAATCTTCCTGCTTGAAAGAGAAAAGAAACCTTCCTTCCCTAGGCACATGGTTTAACCAAGCCATCTTCTAGAGATGAATCAGCGAGGCTATTGAGGTGCCACAATTGAACCCCTACTCTGTGCTTCATTGCATTTCCTTCCCCAGGAGGATACTTTAGGGTGCTTTAGGTGTGTGCAAACCCCTTGAGGTGCATATGGCTCTGTAAGCCTGCTCTGCAAGATGAGGGGCTCAACAGCAGGTGACAAGCAAGAAATCAAAGAGGAGTCAGTCCCAGGCTGGCCACCCCTGGTCAGAGAAAGCCCTGGTCTCATCTGACAGCCTCAAAATATATCAAAGCTTCCTTTTGCTGTCTCAAAGAGGCCTGGGAATTCCAGCCTTACAGCCAGGAGATTTGTTGTCCTCCAAAATAAGTCACCCTGGACACAATAAAAGCATCATCCTGACCAGAGCAGCCAAGGAGCTTGGGAAGGGTAAAGGAAGCACTTAAATATTTTCTTTTTGGATTTTGACTGCCAAATCTCTCAGGAGAGGTTGGATTCTTCACAAAAATGCTTGATGGGAAGAAACTCCCCAGGAAGGGATTGTTCTGTTTTGGTTTGAACTTGAAGGCCTCCAGTTAACTTGGGGCACTGCCACCAGCCACCTAAGGAAAGCTTGAAGTATTTCTACTCAGGGTGGGGTAAATTCCTACTGTGGGTGTACAAAAGGCCTTCAGAGGCATGAATTTCCTGGGACACAACCTTCCTACCACAATATATTTTGTGGTTGAACATAAATTGGGTGGTTTGGTGCTTGTAATTACAAAATTCTACTGAGGTTCGTCTTTCCCCTCCCATCCCCCTGTGGCTTTTACTCCAGTTTAACATGAGGTTTTCCCTGGAAATTAGTCTTTATGATTCCTGTGTGCCTGCTATTGCTTTTTTTTTCCCCAGTGATTTTTTTTAAAGAAAAATGCATAAACAATCCAAGAAGCAAATGGAAAACTAGTTTGCCTGCTCAGGGATAGAAGACTTCCTTGCTGGCTTGAGCATCTTGCTCTCTTTAACACACTCTGTTGGTCCCTGAATCTTTCATTTTAGGCAGTACATCCTCAAGGGGAGGGCAGAGACTGTTTTACTCCCATTCTTTGTTTCCCTTGGTCCCTGCTTTAAGGACTCCTCTCCTGAGCATGCCTTCCCCACTGAGGCCAGTAGAGTCGTCTGGGCTAGAGGAGCAGAGATGTTCTTTGATCCTTCTGCATACACTCTGAGGTTGGGACACTGGGAAAAACACGGACTTTTACATGTTCAACCTGGTGCTGAGGGCTCATAACTCTCACAGCAGGGGCTCAGCAGTGTTGGTGTGGGAGCAGTGAGTTGTGATGACTTCAATCCCTACTGCCTTCTGCAGACACCCTCAGTGCCACAGTCCACATGTTTGAAGGTAATTTCATGGAAATTCTGGGCTCCAAAGTTTTCTAGTGGCTATTTTTTGGGTATCTCCTTGGGTTTAACACCCAGTTTCTGTCTAAGTTCTCTTTTTAGCTAAGTGCTATTTTGGAATATTACTGATTGACTGTTCCTTCCTCAGCTTCTTTAAGAATATAAGAGAGGTTACAATATTTTCTGGCCTCACAAATTTATTTTGATGATGCATATGTTTAAGACAGCTTAAAATGAGGTGAAATGAATTTTCTACATGTTTGTGATAAAAAACCCAGAACTCTGGTTATTTTGGTGGTTTCCTAAAAGACACTTCTGATCAAAACTCTACACTCTGAGCAACATCTATAGGAGTGTGCAGATGGATTTTGTAGGAAGTGCAGTAAAAAAAAACAGGTACGGTGTTGAGACTCCTAAAACACTGGTCCAGGTACCAGTTTCTTTAAAGACATCTTTATTAAAGAACAAATCTGTGACTATGTGGGAGACTGTAATATTCCAAGATGAAAATTTCCCCTCTCTATGGGGAGGTTTTATTAACCCAGACATAAAAAATAAACACAGATTCTGTTGTTGACTATTTGCAGCTCCCACAACTCCCAAGGCCACAGCATGAATTGCCCTTAAATTTGACTAATGCTACAAAATAAAAATACATAAGTAGTCAGAAAAATACAGGCAGAGTTTCCTTTTTTTTTTTTGCTTAGTGAGGAGGCAATGGGAAACTGCCTGTAAGATGCACCACAGTAATTCAGATTCAGCTTAGGGCTGAGAGCTTGACCTCCCCGGGTCACAGTGTACGAACTGTGCCCATGTCCTATTTAATTGATGTTCTGCTTACCACTCTGTTAAGCACCAGATTTGGAAACTCTCCAGCTCCTATGGAGGAAAGAATGGCATCTATTCGCCCCTATTCATTTGTCCACTGCTGTACAGAAGAAGATGGAATTTGCCTCTCTGTTGGGATTTTAATCATTACTCTTTAAAATTAGTACAGGCATTTATGATTTTCTTTCTGCCTGGCACATGTTAAGTGACACTAGGACTGAACTGTGAATGGAGCAATGTAGTGGTGAACAGCTCTACTTTGCAGCCCTGGAGTCAGAAACTAACTTGTTTCTCATTCAGGAACACTAATCTCTTGCAAACCTGCCAGTGGCACAATTTTAAATAAGATGTCAATGAAAGGATTTGGTTTACTCCATGTTAAGCACATCCTCCCTTTAAATTATAAATGTCTTCTCCTTCCACCCTCCCCGTCCCATCCCCAGTGTGCCCAAGAGAGATTAGTATTATATTTTTTAACTACAGAAAAAATGGAAGTAGTGAGTCAAAACAGTTGTCATTATCAGTGTTTCAGTTTTAGATAAGAAACATTGTGCTTGTAACCAGTAAATGTAAAGAAATTTGTTGACCAGAGATGATTCACATACAGAACCAGACTGCTCATGGACAGATTGTGAATGGAAGGAAAAGCTAAATTTATTATAGTGCAGATGTTATCTCTATTTACAGATAGACAAATTGAAACTCATAAAACTGAATTGCTTGCCAAGAAAAGACAGAAAAAGGCAATTGCAGGTCTGGGGAAAGACTTTGGATCTGTTGTCTCCAAATCATCAGCTCTACTAAGCAGCTGTACCTCCCTTTAATTAATAATTCATTGTTAAATGTTTGGAAACATCTGAGCAACAAACACATTACAATAAAAGATGTATTGTTGCAATCTTTTTGGGCACGAAAGGTGTGATTTAATATTCCTTCATTTTAGCATTGAGAAAGCCTGTGTATGGCAAAGAGCAGCTGTTCCTGTCTTCATGAGTGATCAAAGGTGAACAATTGATTTACTACTTTTACTATGGATCTTGTTGGCAAACATTCAAGATGTGAATTGTCTAGTTGTTTTTTCTCTCGGTAAATGTAATGTTTATGATAAATGTTTTTATACACATATTTATATCTCAGAGGACCTCTCTTTTGTCTTAGTTCTGTTGTACTAAACCATCATCTCTTTTCAACCTTATCTTTCACAGGAAGAGTTTCAGACTCTCCTTTCATTCATAAGAAACAAAGGGAGAAAAAAAAGAAGTCTTTGATTTATTTTTGATCTATAGATCTTCACATCACTAAAAAAACCTGACAGCTGGACTGTGTCATTAAGCATTTCCTTTCTGCTTGTAAAGACTCTATCTCCTGCTTCTTGGTATTTGACTTAAGTACTGCATGTTTGGACCTTTACAGGTCAGCTCCTATGAGTTATCAACTGCTTCTGTCCATCTGAGTCTGGCTGCTTCTCTGGGTATGCCAGGTGCCTTCGACAGGGATGCTCCACAGTCATCCACTGCACAGAGGCAGAAGCATTTCCCTATCAAGAGTTAGAGGGAATTAGATTTAAAGCCATGTTTACTGGAGTCCTTAGACTCATCCAACTCATGTGGTTATTTAACCTGGAGAGAAGGAAACTCAGGGGGCACCTCATCTCTTTCTACAACTACCTGAAGGGAGGTTGACTGTAGGGGGTCAGTCTTTTCTCCCAGGTAACAAGCGATAGGACAAGAGGAAGTGGTCTCAGGTTGTGTCAAGGAAGGTTTAGATTAGATATTGAGAAAAATTTCTTCACCAAAACACTTGTCAAGCATTGGAACAGGCTGCCCAGGGGAGTGGTGGAGTCACCATCTCTGGGGGGATTTAAAAGACATGTAGATGTGGCACTTAGGGACATGGTTTGGTTGTGAACATGGTGATGCTGGGTTAATGGTAGGACTTGGTGATCTTGCAGGTCTTTTCCAATCTAAGCTATTGTACCATTTTAGAAGGCTTAACATGGCTTCAGGCAGCCTCAGTGCTATTATCTTTGCTGAGGCACAGGCTCTGCTGACAGTCCTATGGACAGTGTGATGGACAAGTTCTTGTGAGGCCTCCATGTGGATTGTGGTTCCTTGTGTCCACAGTCACCTGAAGTAGCTCTTTAAGGGAATAAACAGTCTATATCTTACAAATTCCTGATTTTATGTCTAATTTCTTTGTGCCTGTCCTACACACAAACACTGAACAAACTCCGTGTGCCCACCAGATCATATTATTTTGTCTCTATGCTGACATAGCAGTGTCATTGTTGTGTCAATATTTTGAGCATTTATTTGGTCTAAGTGTTATTTGTGTGCCACAGCTACACCCATACTGAAATCACTGTCCATGAGTCCACCTTCTCTCAGCCCTTCCAAAGTCCAAATATCAACCCCCTTTCTCTCAGCTCTTTCAAAGTCCAAATATCAACCCCCTCTCTACCAGAACAGAAAACATGTCCCTGTGTTGCCCACCATGTCAGTTGCCCGGATTCCTACCCAGGTAAAATATCTCCAGTGGTGAACTCCCAAGTACAGAGAGAAATTATACACATCCTCATATAATGCTAATGGACAAAGTCCAAAAATTTCCTTCTTTTTCACCATCCTCCCATTCATGTGCTCTAAACTCTTGCTCCATCTAAGCTCATTGACATTGCCAAAGTCTTTCCTGTATTTCCACTCTTGCTTAGCTCATGCTCGTCTTCTTTTTCTCCCTGTCCCACCCTTTCCCTCCTAACACCTGAGTCACACAATCACTGAATCATAGAATCATTAAGGTTGGAAAAAACCTGCAAGATCATCAAGTCCAAGCATTAACCCAGCACCACTATGTTCACCATTAAACCCTGTCCCCAGGAGCCACATCTACATGTCTTTTAAATACCCCCAGAGATGGTGAGGCAAGCCCTTCTGTGGGCAGCCTGTTCCAGGGCTTGACAACCCCTTCCATGAAAAAATTATTCCCAATATTCTATCTAAACATCCTCTGGTGCAACTTAAGACCATTTCCTCTTTTTCTATCACTTGCTACTTGGGAGAAGAGACCAACCCCCACCTCAGCACGACCTCCTTCCAGAGAGTTATAGAGAGGGAGAAGGTCCACCCCAGCCTTCTCTTCTCCAGACTTAACATCCCCAACTCCCTCAGCAGCTCCTCATAGGATTTATTCTCCAGACTCTTCCCCAGCTCTGTTGCCTTTCCTTGGACACACTCCAGAACCTCAGTGTCTTTCTTGTAGTGAGGGGCCCAAAACTGAACACAGGAGTTGAGGTGTGGCTTCACTGGTGCCAAGTACAGGGGGCAATCACTGCCCTGGTCCTGCTGGACACACTATTGCTGACACAAGCTACTGCTCTAGGGCCCTTCTGGGAAACTCCTTCTTGTAGGACACCAGTATCTTGTCATGTTAGCATTATTTTCAAGTTGCCACCAAACCTGTCTTCTTTACTGAGGCTTCTTTGCCTAGCTGAGCTCCTTCACCCAGGTTTCATTCTTGGCAGCTACAGACAGTATTTCATGATGTGAACATGCTGTGAATGACAGCAGTGGCAAAGGGGGTGAATGTCCTCTCACTGGAGTAAATCAAGTAACCAAATCTGGTGTGTTGTTGCTCAAGTGGAAAAAAACAGGCCTGTGCACAAAATACTGCAGAGCATGGAAGATCAGTGTGCTGTGCCACTGTGAAAACCATGACCTGTGCACCTCATGTGATAGCATTGCTAAATGAGCTTTGAAAAAAGATCATTTTTCTAGTGGCCTCTTAAAGAATGTGGGTGGCAAAGCAGCAACAGTAATCAGCAATGTTAATTGCAGTCACACATCAGTTTTCATTGGCGTTTTCCAGCTTTCCATATAAAAGACATTGTTCCACCGAAAGCGTAGGCCAAGTTAGCTAATCATTTACAGCATATTTACTTTCTCCCAGGATTGTCTAGGAGGAATTGTACCTTGTGTTTTAAAGCTGTTTGAAGCAAAAAGCCTGGAGAGAAATTGTTTAATTTGATTTAAAGCTTTTATAGCTGACCTGCCAGTCAAAGTGATTCGGGTAACTAGGTGATGAATGAGACTCGACTCTGTGTTGCACTAATTAATGTGGGGATTATCTCTGAGGAATTGATCTGCCTTTTTTTCCAAAATGTTGATGTCAGTGAAATGGTACTACTACCATTTATTTAAAACCATCCACTATGTCTGTTGTTAAAAATCATGGGACTGTGAGTCAGCCATCCTGGATGACTTATGGTTCTGTCACTGATTCACTGAAAATGAATGTCTACACTGCACCCAACACGAACTAAATGAAAGCTCAGACACAAAAAGTAATCTAGCCAAAGGGCTAGAAGGTCTGTCACTGGCTAATCAGGGTAAACTATAAGGCTATAGTTTCATGAGTCTATTTTTAAGGTTGAAGTGTTTCCAGTTATGATACATACCTGCTCAGAATGGACTAGTTCCTTTACAGTCCTGTGCCCAAAGTTATCTAGCTGTACAATGGGTGAATAATATATTTTCCCAACTGAGAAATGTTCAGGCATGGTAAAGTGTTTTTAAAGGAGTATTTTAGTCATTGCATTACAATGAGGTTTTTTCCTTCAAGTTATGGAATATGACTTTAATAGATAAATGGGGGAGATTAGGCTTTCAATCACAATATATCTGTTTATAGGCCAAATATAAAATGGATTAAAAAAAACAATCAAGCAAACAACTATAATTTGTATTCAACCATATGACCTGGCACAAGACTCTGCAATGAAGACAATTAATGATTCAGATTTGTGAGTAAACTATGCATTTTCCAGCCTCATTAACGACCTGGACCATCTAATGCCACCTTCTGCAGACAAAGGTAACTTGTCCTAAATTTATCAGCTATTCATTAGCAGTCATTGAAGGCTGGAGAACTCTTGCCTCCTGAATACTTCCAGGAGTTCAGCACAAAAGCTGGCTGCTACCCCTGTGAAGGGGAAAGCTTTAGCTTAGACCATTGCTGCAGCTTGGCTTCCTTCAGGGTCTGCTCTGAATTGCCACCCTTCTCCCAAATGCCTGGTGCTGCCTCCCAGCACACCCCATCTCCATGGGAGAGGGGTTCTGTCCTGCCAAAGCTGCTCAGGACAGTCAGAGAAGCCTTGTGCAGCTGTAACAACAGCAGCACTGAGGCAGCACTACAAAGCAGTGAGCAGTGAGCCAGCACCTAGGAGGTCCTGCTGCTGCCCCTCATCCTTGTCTGAGGCACTTGTTGCTGCTTTTCTGCAGCAAAGTCATCTTTATTTTACTTTTTTTATTAGATGAACTGGTACAGAACACAACTTCATATGTTTAGCAAAAATTAAATTCTTAGGCTCTGCCTTACTCTAATCTCCACATAACATGTCCTTAGGGAAGGGATGGGTTAGTCCCCTCCATACTTCACTGCGCAACACCGCAGCTACATGCATACATGCACAGAGAATAGGGACAGAATTTACATAACATTTCATAAATTCACAACTTGCCAGGACACAAATAAAGGCAACATTTCTCATCCCTTGACAAGTTCGTGTCACATACTGTATCTTTGCTTTCACCTTGTGACTGTGCCGTTGTCTTTCATGTACCTCCTGTATGGACCACCATGATCAGTGGAGCATGTCCTCCCATGTCACAGAGGAGCAGGAGTCTCTCTGCTAGAGGTTTTCTATACTGAAAATCCCCTGTGCAAAGGGGGACTTTCCAAAAACCTTTTCTTTTGGTCGGGATCCAGCGTAGATTGGAAGGACTGGTTTCAACAGAAGGTGCCAGGCAACTGAACAGGCATAGCTAAAACTTCACGTGCTTTCTTACCCAGTATTGTGATAAGAGCTTTCCTTGCATGTTCATGTTTGACCTTCATAGGCTGCCACTGCTGCTCTTGGGTTTCCCCAAGACAGCGTGAGTGTTGCTGTTGATACCACTGTAGTATCAACATAGTACACCCCTATCAGCACAGGGAACTGGTTGTTCACAGCCCCTGCACTCGCTTGCTCTTTCGCAAGGATCAGTCACTGAACTAGTTCTGTGGTCAGACTTATTCAGGAAGCAAAACATTGCAACTGCAGGCATTTGTTTGTGTCCGTGTTTGGCACAGTCTTAAGTCAACTCCACCTCTCTGATCTTCTCTTCCCTATCCCTTATTTTTAATGCATTCTTTCTCCTCCTGTCCTACCCTCTCCCTACCAAACCTCTGTTGTTTCATTTCCAGAGAAATGCCATCAATCACATCTTGATTTCAAAACGTACTTTTCTAATTATGGTATGGTAACCTTGCTCATTGCCAAAAGTCATTATGAAAATCATGAAGATGTTGGAGGTTCAGAGGGTAAACCAACACACAATGCTTATGTTACAGGAATCCTTTATTATAGGAAGGGGAAGGAAACCTACACTGCTTCCAGCTCTGGAGACTGGCTGAAGAAGTGGTGTGAACATTCACCTCTGCTCTCAGATATTCCCTTCTGGAATGTCCTAAAAGCAAATTATACAGGACAGTTCCATGTGATTGTCCCTTGTATTCACACTGGTCTGGGAAACGGACTGCAAATTGCAATGGGAGAGAAGCTGGGGGCTTTTCATCCTTGTGGTTCCCCTTGAATCATTTTGGCCACAAGGATACAAAAGATTTTGTTTTGCTCTAAAGAGGCAGGGCAAATCTAAAAAAGGCAAGTTTAAGCCAACTGTGCTAGCTTTAGTACCCTGTACAGCCCACAATGCAGGGCTTTGTGCAGACTCCAAGGAGAAGAACATATGTGCGTGTTTAAATGGGAACTGAAAGAAATGCTCTGTCAACTGACCAGGAGCTGGAATGTTTAGGGATCAGTTTCCAAAGTGAGCTCAATGGCATGACAGCAGTTCAGAGATAATTCAAATTAACATGCAGAGAAAAGCCCTCTGAAAGAAAGTCTTGCCCTGAACATATAATTTGTAGAATAGATCTCAACTGAAATAGATCTCTTTCTGAAGTGTGTTTGAGTAATAAATGCATAAGCAGGAAAGGATCTCTACTAGGCTTTGCTTCTCCTGGAAACACTCCCTGTTAGGCAGAGGACAGGTCGATAGAGACCCAAGCAGAAATGTCCATCTCGTTAGACATGCTTCTGGGATGCACTTATGTCAGTAGTTACCCCTTCTAAATGTTTGTCACTGCCAATCTACTGGATGAGCCATTTGTGGGACTGTTGTTTCTTTTCCTTGTGGAAAATCAGCTGAATTACTTTCATTGTTCAGCTTGTTGGTCTGAGCTGATTTTCAGCAGCAGCTGACTGAAGAGTGCTGCTGTATATTGCTCTGCCTGTAGGGTAGTTGGCAGTCAGTGACAGCCAGGATAGCAGGAGAAGAACAGTAGGGACAGCAGAGTCCAGCAATAAGACCTCAAAAAGTTGTAAAACCACCAGCTGAAGCCTAGAAACCTTTTATCCCCTCACTTCACTCAACCACAGTAGCTCCCTAGAGTCTAGTGCACCAAGCTGTGAACCGTGAGCCTTGATAATTGCCACAGCAAGGGGAGACTGATTCCTGCAATCTAGAGATTAGGTAGGTAGAAGGACACTCAAGTTTTAGTTTGGGCCACAGTGGAAAGAAAGACAGGATATGCAGGCAGAATATCTCTTCAACAATTTCACAGCTCCTTTGCACAATTCCTGCTCACCCCAGCAGCACTGCTATATCATGAGTAATGACAGGCATCTTTTATACAAGAACACCTTTTGTATAGCACATCCTCTATGTGCCTATAAGGTACCCTAAAATAAGTGATGGACAATTCTGAATGAGACACTTCTCCAGTACTCCTTTGGAGTATGAGTCATAGTATAGCCAAGAGCAGAAGGTGCCTGGGTCCAGGAGAACAGTCCCTACACAGCAGTCATCTGCTCTCAGGAGAAGGGCCTTCATCCCCAGCAGACAGTGATAATTCCATTTCTCCTCCACTTTAGGTATATAAATCCAGAGTAGGACAGCAGTGCAGTAAACCCATGAACTTCATGTTCCTGTCAGGTAGGCAGTGCTTGTTCTTCACGTTTAGATCACGTTTATGCACTGTTTAGGGAATCTTGTGTCTGGATTTCATTGTGATGACTGTGTACGTAAAACCTGAGCCTTGGCATTCCTGAGGGCTGGGCAACGTTTGGCCACAGGTCCCCTGAGAACAGTTTGTTTTGTTGCAGGGTCATCTGTCACTGCACATGAAATGTCTTTCTGCTGCCTTGTGTTCCACCTAAGAGCTGAACATGGAGCCCCACCATGGAGCACCATGTTTTTGATGGGGATTCAAGTAAAAGTAGAGCAAATCTCAGTGAGGGATTAGTCATTTACTGTCCACAATATTTCTGCTGTGTATAGAACAGTCTTAGTCCCTGTGCAGTCGAAATATTAAACAGACCAGTGAGTTATTCCTGGCCTTTCCTTACATATAGTCATCTCTACCCACCACCTCAGGGTCTGTGCATATCAAAAAGATAAAAACTAAGCTGGCAGAAGTCGTTTTTCACAATGTCATTACTCTCATGAGCAATTTGGCTTGCTTGCAACCATCACCACATCAGTCACACTGTCATTGTGGCATGAACAACACCTCCTTCCATTTGCTGCCAGACTGAAGAATAGGCTTGGTTCTCTTTTGTTGCATGTAACAGTGACAGTCCTGGTAGAAGGAAAGTGCTGAGACCACCAACCCACCTGACTGCCACGGATGTCCCCCACCTTGACTCTACACCAACAAACGCTGAGGCCTCTGGACCACAGTGCCATGACACTGCTACTCAGTAGCTACACGACCAGCCAAGGTATCCATGGAAAAGGATGTTTTTAAACCCTCTGTCAACTGCTCTTCCTTCCCAGGCTAACAAGTTGACAATTAAACCATCTTGAAGCAAAGCTGAGAAAACCATGTGGTCTGTACGTGTATCCAGCAAATAGGCAAAAACGCCCCCAGACCTCGTCTGTTCTGTATTATCCCCCATGCCTTTGGAAATCTGCCCTTGATTTTCATTAATTTTTTCCACAAACATTTGAAAATCAGTTCATTCCTCTGAGGTTTTGCGGTCACCTGGTTTGAGTAACCTGAGGAGCTAACACCAGGTCTGTAGACCTTGTTAACCCAGCACATAAGCAAGACCTTTTTGAGATTAACTCCTAAATTTGTGCTTAGATGCTTTCCAGGATTCTGAATTAATGTTTGAATGGAAATTTTAGGCTGTTCTTACAAGGCTATGCGAGTCAGAGGTGTGTACACACAAAGCCCACTCTACCTGCCTGCCCTTGCTTGACTTTTAGATAATCTTCTTTCTTGCATCCCTCTTGAACAGCCTTCTGTGGCTGACAGTAGATGGACAAGCTGGGTAATAGAATTTGTCTTTCTGCCCCTAAAATGCTATAGTTTCACTGAAAAGTAGACCAGCCATCAGGGAACCAGCCTTGTTGCCCTGTGGGGCACTAAAAATTTATCCCCTCTAGGAATCGATTCTCTGTTCCTATCACAAGGTAGACCAAGGTGGTGATTTTGTAATACAAACCTGAGGGCTCATTCCTATGGGAAAGCATGAGAGCCTGGGGGTTCAAAACAGGAGTGATGATAAAGGCAACATAAGGCATCTGGTTTGGTCTCACCCTCACTGCCAGTGGGGAAGGTTTCTTAGGGGAGGTGTCACCCACACAACACCAGGCTTTTGTCTTGGGCAGAGCTGGTTGGGTTGTTCTTTAACAGATCCTAGGAGAAAAGAAATGGTTTTGAAGTGTGAGCAGTCTGAGTTTGAGTTGCCTCAGTTTCTTCCCTGGATGATTTTTATTTGGTAAGGCAGACATAACACTGAAGCACAGGTGAGAGATCCAACTGTTCAGAGCTTATTGTACAGTCCTCTCTCAGGGACAGAGAAGACAGAGTCCCTGGTTTTTGAAAGAGGATTTCCTGGTTAAAGCACTCACCCCTCTTGTTTTTTATATTCAAACACCAACCACCAAGCAAAAACCAATGGGGCTTTTTGGCTACAAAAAAGCCCACTCTGCACATTGAAGATGCCCTTCACTAAAAGCTTTTCCCTTCCTCCCTCTTCTGCAGCTGGTTGACAGAAGGCCTTAGAGATTAGCTGCGTTCCTGTGAGCTATTTATACTGAAATATTTTGTGTTGAAAGATGTAAGCCCTTTGTTTCCTCTGTATGTACACGGTGATCCCTGCGGGCAAGCAAACCCTCTTTTGTTTTGGATCAGATATGCTGTGAATTGCTGTTGTAAGACAGCCCTGAGTGCACTTCTATGAGTCAGTCTCACCTTTACGCTTCCACATGTCACCAGGCTCTCTTGGATGTCTGTGCCGCTTTCCAATTCCAGATTACCCCAGTTAAAACAAGTCTAATCCCCACTTGGGATGATGCTTCCAAAACATTTTCTCTGAAATAATATTTCTTGATATTTTTTCCAGGCAGAGAAAGCATTTAGCTCCTTGGTTGAGCAAAATAAGAAAATCCCTCAGTAACATGCTTGGCCAATTTGGCTGGATGATGTGTTGGATTAGGCAATCCTCATCTGTAATGCAACCCTCATGGCCTAAAATAAAATGTGTGGGGCCATACAGTATTCTCTGTTCCTATGAATGGAGGACTATGATCAGCCCAGGTGAGAGGAACTAAAAGGAAACATGTAGACGAGAATGGTACAAAAACGCAGGCAGAAAAACATAGGAAGAGATTTCACCTCAGACATCCACCCCTTCCTCTCTGTCCATAGCAGAATAGCTTGTCTGCTGGAGCATACAGTCAGGTTTGTGTGGTAAGGGCAAGCTCATGGATGAGACTCTGGCACAAGTGGCCAGGGGGAGATTTTTTTTCTAAGTGTCTGCATTGTGGAGAGCACCTGCAAAGATGGGGATCTGAACAACCATCAAGCTCCATACTGAGCCAGCTTGATGAGTCTAGAGACCCTCTGACCAAAACTCCCTCAGCCTTTCCAGCTCCATAAGCAAGGACTCTGTCTTAGGGAAAAACCCAGAAGTATGAAATCTGAGTGTTGGGTTTGAAGGAGAAAGCTGGCAATACAACACAGTCTTTCCAGTCTCCAAGTCTTCTTCTCACTTCTCCTCCCCTCAGCTCTGCACTGAATCTGACAGGATCAGAGGCAATGGGCACAAACCAAAAGACAGGAGAATTCAATATTCAATTGATCAGGAAACCCTTTCTTACTGTGAGGGTGACTGAGCACTGGCACAGGTTGCCCAGGGAGATGGTGGAGTCTTTCTCCTTAGAGACAACAGCCATCGGGACACGATCCTGGGCAACCAGCTCTAGGTGGTCCTGCTTGATCAGGGGGATTGGACCTGGTGACCTCCAGAAATCCCTTCCAGCCTCCACCATTATCTGTGATTCTGTGAATTGACAGGAAAGATCCCTTCCCCTGAAGCCTCCCACATTCTGTATGGTAGCAGGGAAGCTCAGCATTAGCAGCAGCCCTCTGTTACAGTCTCTAACTGGGAGACAGATTTATGTGATCCAGTATGAGTCACTGGAGTTGCAGGTCAATGGCCAAATTCTTCTTTTTGTTACACCCATAGAGTCCTGTGGGCTTCAGTGAGTGGGAGGGGAATGGAACAAGTCCAGATGCTTTTTATTAGAGCAAAACTGCATTTTGGTCCAAGCTATTTCAAAAGCACTCAATAAACAAAGCACACTTTATTATGATGTCCCGGAAAGGTCACCCAAATCTTATTCCTTTGGGGAGATAATTAATTTAAATAAGATTGGTTGAGGAATAATACCATCCGAAAGGGGATTTTGCTTTTTCTTGGACAGTATAGGTTGCCATCAGTTGCTGAACCTTTCCTTGGTTGCACAATTTAGTGATACAAATACAAACTGCTGCTATGTACTAAGCACTATTTACACTGTTAATTCCCCTGAAATAAGATTTTATGCCAGGGGCTTCCACACTTCATTGGCAATCTGGTTTTAAAAATTTAAATGTGTAGACTTTTGTCTTCACATTAGCTTTGATTAGAGGATTTTATTTTCCATTACTTGCAAGTTATCTGTACCACACTTATTAGGCATGCTGCAGCCTTAAAAGGTTCCTTCAGATCAACTCAAAACACCCTGAACACTTTGCCACATTTTTGTGATATCTTTGGAGAGCATATGATGATGATTTTTCAGATTGAGACAGCAATATGTTCAAAATGCCCTCATCCCTCCCAAGTGAATATCACAACCAACCAGAAAATGTCTTTAAATGAAGTTTCATTATATGGTCTTTATGAAACTTTTCTAAGGCCAACACACATGAATAAGGATATCAGATGACTCAGATGATATCAGATGGCTGCAGTGGAATTTTATTTTGCTCTGCAAAGCAGCAGTGCTATAGGAAAAAATGTCACTATTGTTACCAATGTTGCTGCCAATTAACAAAAGTTAATTTTAACCAATAGGTTTGTTATAATTGATTTTTTTTTACATGGAGCTATTCTACAGTATCGATGAATATTTTGAATCAAGCATATTTATGGAGAGTAAAACAAAAGATATTTGTGATTTGCAATTTTTATTTTACTAAGTGGAATATTCGCACTCATTAGATTTCTGATTTCTATTACTAAAGGAAAATCCTCCACTTTTAAAGATAATAAAACATCCGGCTATATTTATACAGAACCCAGACAACAAACTCCACACTTTGTCTCTTGAGTTTTTTTTCCTCTGGCTTCTTCCTGCCTCCTATACTGCATAGACTCCTCAGTCTACCAGCCCTGATTGCTGGGACCGTGCCTCACATTAAACATTTAACAGAGACCTTTTGTTGCTCACTGCATGATTATGACAAATGGCAGATTGTTACAGCAGGAGCTGTGTTATCGAAAGTCAATCAAGAGTGTGCCAAAAACTCTGGTCCCTTTTGCAGAATTCCGACATGGAATAGGCATTGTCTAGATTAGAGAAAGAGACAACTCATAAACACCAGTCAAATAAAAACCATAGAGAGAATGAGAGGTGTGCAACTGGAACCAGCAAGTGTGTCACCAAGTGTTCTTTTTCACTTGCTTTTGCTAGAAAAATCCTTAAAAGAGAGAACCTTTAAAAGCTGACTGGAATGAGGTGAGGCCTGAAGACTAGTGGGGGCGAGTGTCCTATCTACATTTAAGGAGGTGGAAGCAGAGTAGAGGAACAAATCCAAGGAATTTCAGCTGTGGAAAGCTATTGGAACAAATTATGAAATGGCCTGTGAGCACTTGGAAGCTAATATGGTGCTAAGAAACGGCCAGCACAGTTTTGTCAAGAGTAAAGTATGTTAATGGAATTTAGTTTCTTCTCTGACATGGTAAGTCACTGTGCAGGGTTCACATGGTCAGGTTTTGGTAGCAGGGGGGCTACAGGGGTGGCTTGTGTGAGAAGGTGCCAGAATCTTCCCCCATGTCCAACAGAGCCAATGCCAGCCAGCTCCAGGACGGACCCATCGCCGGCCAAAGCTGAGCTCATCAGCAACTGTGGTAGCACTTCTGGGATAACGCATTTAAGAAGAGGGAAAAAACGTCCGTGCAACATCAGCCAGAAGAGAGAGAAGTGAGAATGTGTGAGAGAAACAGTCCTGCGGAAAACCAGGTTAGTGAAAATAGAGAGACAGGAGGTGCTCCAGGTGTCAGAGCGGAGATTCCCCAATAGCCTGGTCTCACAGATCATGGTGAGGCAGCTGTACCCCTACAGACCGTGGAAGTCCGCAGGGGAGCAGAAATCCATCATGCAGCCCGTGGAGGACCCCACACTGGAGCAGGGAGATGTGCCCTGAAGGAAGCTGCAGCCCGTGAAGAGCCCATGCTGGAGCAATCTCATCCTGAAGGACTGCAGGCTGTGGAAAGGAAACATGC